GGCCATTTGCGTGTCCAATCAGGACTCGTAACACCGGTCGCGCTTCTCTGATAATCTAGGACTCTACCCTCAGCGGACGAATCGTATCGATATATAATTCGAACGTACGGACGTAACGAGGAATTACGTTTAAACTGTAGAACAGCGCGGTGAACAAATGAATTCGAATTCTTTATATTATTTGTAAATATTTAAATTGTTTCAAGAAATTCTAAAATAATAATTAATTGTATAACAGTCATAATAAACAATAATGAAACATTATTATCGTATTATATTCAACTCAATAGTCGAAACAAGGGGACAGATAAATTATATATGTAATATCGAGAGATTGTATAAATGTAATATCATTGCCTTGAAATCATGTGCATGCAAACGATATTATTAATTCATCCATGATGTTTTATACTTCCTTGTGATATATTAAAATATAATGCAAAATATTGGTAAAATGACTATCTTTTAACTCTAGGATTTTGAATTCAAGATTTAGCGAAGTATAATGTGATATTGTTTAATAAAGATTAAATTCTGTAACATAGTACAACAATAAATATTATAGAGACGTATATAATAAAAAGAATAATGCAATATTGACATTAATAATAAACTCGAGATATATTGTGTATAATATATATGTATGAACTATAAATGAATTAAGTGATAAAATAAAATATTAATAATTAGTAATAATAATAATTAAGGAAGTGATCGGTATGATAATAAAGATAAACACAGTATAAGGTTATCATAACTTAAAATTGTAAGATGATAACATTACCTGGAGATTAATAAACATACGTATGTACAATAACCTCCCAATAACATAAAAATGTTTGTCCAAACTCATTCCATTAACATTCCATAAATTTTGCAAGGTACATTGTATTAATATTATACAACATTATATTAATGTGCAAACTAAAAGCGATTTTTCATTTTATTATGCTAAAAAAATTTTTATTAATTATAGCATCACGTTCCAGAGATAGAGAAAAAATATATACAACAAATTAATTATTATTAAAAAAATGTATTTGGAAACTACAAATTTCAGGATGTTTCTACATATAAGCGGTCACCCATCCAAGCCATATACCTTCTCGAGCGTTGCTTAACCTTTGTGATTGTTCGCGAACTGCTGATGCTTTGTGATGATCCATATATGAATTATACTAGGGATGTATACCAATATAGTATATCAGATATGACCAAGTCATAAGAACAAAATTTATAATAAATGTGATGAAATAACGTTAATATATCGTTATTTAAAAGGCTGCATTTGTAATACATTAAGCTGTGTCCCAATTTAAATTAATTTACATGTTTTATATCTTGCTGGACAGATTCTCTTTTGTCGAAACGAATATACATAAATCTTGCAAGGTTTTCGTAAAAAAAAACTCATACCATTCAGCGCATAATTAATATAAACCTTAAAAATTAAAAAAAGTTATAAAAAAAAAATAAAGAAATGTCATTTTAATGTCAAATACTATGGTCATATTTGCACGAATGACGTCAATTAAGTAATCATTATTCAATGTCAATGCTGACATACATGTGCACTGAATATTGGGACACAGCTTAATGTATTACAAATGCAGCCTTTTAAATAACGATATATTAACGTTATTTCATCACATTTATTATAAATTTTGTTCTTATGACTTGGTCATATCTGATATACTATATTGGTATACATCCACTAGTATAATTCATATATGGATCATCACAAAGCAGCAGTTCGCGAACAATCACAAAGGTCACATGCAGGGTTGGGAATGAATTTACCCTAAGAAAGTAACGCGTTACCGCATTACCGTTATTTTTCATAAAAAGTAACTCGTTACCGTTACTCGTTACTGATCGTTACTGATTTTAAAAAGTAACGCGTTACCGTTACCGTTACTCGAAAAGTAACGATTCGTTACATTATTGTTACTTTTTTGTAATACTGAAATAAGTTTAATTAGATTTTATATTTGTATTATTTTATAATCATTATTAAATGTAATAATAAATATTAAAACTTGAAATTCTTTAAATTAGTCTGTATATAGAGCATATTTTTCTTTACATTACTTATTTTTATAGAAAGTAAGATTAAATCTATTGTCTCTAAATTAATTATTAAAAGTATATTCCAATTTTCACTGTTAGTACTAATTGTTGTAGTTGAAAATTAAGAAACACTTTTAAATATAAAACTAAGACTATTACATTACCAGGACGTTTGGATAACA